CTGGGTTCCGCCATACGGAGTTTTCAAATCACGTAGCTGCCCATGGCAACTCCGAACGCGGCAGTGTACGACCAGATCGATCTGGGGAGAGAGTCATAAATTTGTACCCCAATCCACTTACGGACCAGCTACGTTATCAGAGCCCTATCTACGTACTCTCCGTAGACAACTTTCCGTAAGTGGAGTGTAAACTCGCGAATTCACGGGTTTTTCCCGCCCACTAACGTAAAGTTGCTCAACTTTACGTAGTGCGGAACCTCTCTATTGTCACACATTTGAGGTAAAACAATTGGTTCAAAATTGCAAATTTTGAATTCTTGTGTCAGATTCGAAATCTATATTTTTCTTCATCTACTCACATCCAGCGTAAGGTACATGTAAGTGAAAGAGAAGACAAGAAGCAGTCGCTGGCTGGTGAATTACGCCTGCCTTGACGATTTTAGGCTGTCCCCGGGGAAAATTGCGATTCCGCGGCCGCGTTTTTTTCCGCGTTTTTTGCGATTTTTTAAAAGACCGCGTTTTCCGCGATTTTCCCGCGTTTTTTGAACTTTTTTGATGCACCACACGTACACACAGTGCACTGTTCGGTCAGCAACGTCTCATCGTGGCGGCTTTTTACTCAAATATGACCAGTGCTTACACCAGAGACTTGTAACTGATTGATTTCACTACATACTCACTGAAAATTGCCGCACATCAATATTATTCACCGCATATTTACCGCATATTTACCGCAAATTATGCCATATTATGCCGCGTTTTCCCCCGCGTTTTTTGCGATTTTTTTCCGCAATTTTCCCCGGGGACAGTTTAGGCCAGGGAGTCGTAAAAGCCCGGGAGAGGACACGGCACACATTCCCAGAAAACATCTTTGCCTCGCGCTGCCGGGGAACGCTGCCAGGGAACGGTGTTGCGAGGCAAGGAAATTATTTTCGAAAATTGTGATGTCTTCTTGAAATACTAATTGGGACATTCTCCGATTTCTCTTAGAGCACGGAGACGATTGCTCCGTCGAGTCTTCTGATCTCTATTTTCATCCTCAATTCTTCCGGCTGCCTCACTCATTCTCTCTCAGTTTATCGAAGTTAATTTATTCTGAGGCGATGGAAATGCAAGATAAATCCCTAATTGTACTTCAATTTTATTTGAGTTGGGGTGAACGAAATGAGATTTGTGGAAAATGACGCCACTTCCCGTGTTAGCCGCTGGTCGTATCATACAGCCCATATTCCATTGCAGGTGATGGGCGACCGTTCGTGTTGAGATCCGCTGAGCTTCCTCGTACTCGTGGAGTTGAATTTGTGGCAGAAATTGCACTGAATTGCAGTCAAATGGTTGTGAATGAAACGAGATTTGTGGAAAATGACGCCACTTCCCGTGTTAGCCGCTGGTCGTATCATACAGCCCATATTCCATTGCAGTTGATGGGCGAAAGTTCTTGTGGAGATCCGCTGAGCTTCCTCGTACTCGTGGAGTTGAATTTGTGGCAGAAATTGCACTGAAATTGCAGCCAAATGGTTGTGAATGAAACGAGATTTGTGGAAAATGAAGCCACTTCCCGTGTTAGCCGCTGGTCGTATCATACAGCCCATATTCCGTTGCAGGTGATGGGCGAAAGTTCTTGTGGAGATCCGCTGAGCTTCCTCGTACTCGTGGAGTTATGAATTTGTGTCAGAAATTGCACTGAAATTGCAGTCGAGTGGACTTCTGTGCGTGTGTTGTGAGTGAATCGCAACGGCTCCCTTCCTTCAGCATCGTCAAAACGCAACATAGTGCATTATTACGCACTCGTTCCATGATTCATGATATTGCCTGGATTCTTTTAAAAACAATCAATGTGTGTTCCCTATCTATCTACATTGTGCATGGTTGCAGGTCGTTATTTATAAATCTTGATAATTTCAACACTTTTCTACTCGTATACTGAGTACGCGGTGACTTTAGCCGTTTAGGAAACGGAAAGCTCAGCCTCCAGGTTGGCCAGAAAGGTTCTCAGTGAATCTAACCGAAGTCTTGGCGAGTGTACAAAAGGTAAACCTATCATTTGTACTTCATAACGGAATTGTGCACAAAATGCGCACACACGCACGCGAGCGCACACACAAACACTGTACAAACACACACAAAAGTACAAGCACATGTGCACATACACACGGCCACACACACACACACTCAACTCCCCACCCCCTGTACCATGTGTACTGAGTCTGACAGACAGACACACAATCATGTTTATGGTTCCTTCGCCACCAGTTTCGGATATGGTGTCAACAACGAGTTGTAAAATATTGGTATTTTAGGACTCCCTGCCCTGAAGACGAGCACAGCGCCGTGGATCGAGCAGATCCGGCCGCGCCGGCCTAGCGTGCTTCACTTTCTGGCCGAGGCAAACATCGTCCGCGTGCGCGCATCCCGTGTCCTCTCCCGGGCTTTTACGACTCCCTGGTTTAGGCCATCGCTGCCCTCCCTCTCGCTCCTGTTTTGAGAGCGAATACTGCGATGGGATCAGCGATACAAATTTTCAATTTCGAGTCGCATTCCGCGATGATATCGCCACAGCCGATCTCTCCAATCGTCCACCACATCTAGAAGACGTCGACATGACCTAGAACAAGCTACATCTTTGCTACAAGCAGAGAAACTGAGCGAGAACACGATCGAAACAGCGACAATTGTTCGCGCTGAAAAGCATACTTTTGAACGCGTTCGTTCTCCATACTTTCAAACAGGGAGTAGTACAATACCACTCCTGGTTGCAACGACACGTTGGGCAGTGTTGACTGTTGACCATTGACATGGCAGGGATCCCCGGGAGTGGTATAATAATAATAATTCCTATTCTTTCATGCTTGTGTGATCGTGAAGTCTCAGGTTTCTGGTTTTGAACAGGGGGACGTCGGACCCTGGACCGTCATAGTAATAGCAGTATAGACTTCTTCCAAGTACTAGTAACTATTATAGTTAGTTGTGCCGTGAACAGAACAAGTCAAATCCACAACAATGATGTACAGCACTCAGCAAAAAGGAAACCCTTAATTGGCCTTATCCATTGGCAAGGTAACCGTTTGTCATGTAGATCTACACTACAGGCCGGACGACAAGACTATCATCAGGCTTACAAGTAAGTGACATGCACCGGACTCTAGTGGTACATTTATCATCGAAGTTCACTGAAGTTATTTATTTATTGCCAATGATCATGGCTCAATGCGCAGTGCCAGGGGACCGGCCATTTAGGAGAGAGTGGGTGTCCCGGCCAACCACGGCAGACAATAATTTTAGGGGTTCAAGTGTGAGGGAAATAAGAAAAGTAGCGGCACTGATCGGGATGATATGAACCGTTTGTAGCGCGAGACTGAGGATGTCAGTAAGCTCATACACTCATACACTGAGTCAGACCGCGCTTATCCGGTCCTCTTTTATCTGAATCCCTCGCCATCCGGAAGAAAATAGCTGGTTACAGATTTGCAGCATACGCAGTGCATCCAACGTAATCGGTGTTCGGTTATCCGGTTTCCTGGCCTATCCGGATATTTCAGTGGAAAACGGATGTATGCGGCCACTAAGCGAGGTCTGACTGTACCGTCACCTCTGGGCCTCGTTTACCCGGGCAGTCCGGGATCGGGCACTGCCCATAACTTTGAAATGTTCCTAACACAGGTAGTACAATCAATCGGTACGAGTGTCATCAATGCCCCAGCCAAATCCATGCACCTCTAAGCGGCGTGACTCGTGTATTACGGTATGTGTTATTAACCGCCTGAGTACTAGGGCAATACCGGCAGATATGAAAGCCCGGGTATTGCCCTAATACAAGGTCATGACACACGTAGTAGCGTAATATATGAGCTGTTTTTTGTTCCGAGTGGGCATTGAAAAGGCACTTGGCAAGTCAAGAGGTCAAACAGCGGGTATACTGTGCAACCGTCCGCTTCAGCGGGCGTGTATGTATAAGTATCGCACCCCGAGCCTCGGAAAGGTCCCTGATTGGTCCTAACCCTAGTAACATACACCTGACATGACTGTATTAAAAACCACAATTACACTTTTACCCAGCGGCCGGTGCTTATGTGCACGTGTAACTCTATGATCGGATGAATAATAGTCGTGACTGATGGTATACACCGGAATTGTCCTTGTGCACAGTTCTACGACTAGCAGAACAAATCACACACTCACACACGAAAAAAGATGCAGTGTACAGTGTTCTGACTGTCGGCACTGGCTGGTATCTTGAATGCTGGAAATAGCAAGTAAAGAACACGAGCTATCTAAACTTGAGTACCATCAATGGACTCAGTAATGGATGCCCTAAGATTGATGGATCGATAGATGGATGGATGGGTGGATGGATGGATGGGTGGATGGATGGATGGGTGGATGGATGGATGGATAGGTGGATGGATGGATGGGTGGATGGATGGATGGATACAAAGGATTGATTTTGGCAATTGCCGGCAAAGTGCCCGATGCACAAAGTGCAGAGCGTTTCAAACGAAAAAAGAGAAAGATGTCCAGTTTGATACTGGTTTTCATTCGTGAACCGTGCAGAGTGATGTTTAATATGTCAATTTAAAAGCACCAAGTATCACGTATGATCACATAATGATTAGTCTCAGGTTTTAGTATCAGTCGTGGGATGATTGCAGTAGCATGAAACTTTCAGTTACGACAAATCCAAACTGGACCTCTTTCTCTTTTTTCGTTTGCCGGGATGGATAGATAGACAGATAAGTAGATGGATCGATAGATCGCAGAAAGAAAAGTTCAAAATCAGTAATAGATCCCAGCAAGACAACTCCAAGGAGTGTACAACCCGAACCTACTCTGCTGTCTCAACAGAATATCAAGCTGGCGTTATTTTCATGATCATGCGACAATGCTCCTCGCACAAGTGATGTGCGATGTTGTACTGGGGTCAGCGCACCACGTGTGTTTCCTTGCACAAGTTTGTACAGGTTCAAATGGGGATTTGTCCAGCCATCTATCATAATGTTGTCTGTATCAAGAACAAAAGTCAATTGATTGGAATGGTTCTTTTTTCTTCTTTTGAATAGCATGGGCAGTTCTGAGGCTCTGCCATTGAGTTCAAAGAATTTGAAGAGCCCTAGATGCACTAAATGCATTTTTAAGGGTATAAAAGAAATGTTAGAAAAAGAAGGGGGCCGTGAGGGGGGGGGGGGGGTTGTAGTGTCATGACAAAGCTCTCAAAATATCACTGAACTATCTCAAGACAACTAAGCTGTAGTGTTACTTTCCTATTCAGATTGGTATCGCGATCAGTGTGAATCAATGTTTAAAAGAGCTCAAACTGATTGAAGAATGCATTTGCTGAATCTCAACCTAACAAAAGAGCAGGCAAGCTTATGATGTTTGACCCGGTCGGTCGCTGTGTCGCAGAAGCGGATGATGATTTATTTAAAAAGGCTCTTCCGCTCTGTTCCAAAAGCACAAGTGCGGGTAGCATAGTTCCTTGGTGGACGGGTTCCTGCACCTGTTGTACTTGCATCCAACTGCACACCACAATGTCAAGAGTGTCTAGTTGGGTATGTTCTCGGGGAGCGGCACAGAGGCAAGAATGTCCTACAGGAAATGTTCAGCCTACGTATGGTGGCTCATGTGGCTCTTGTTCAAGTATCACTGCGGCATACATGTAGCCGGTTATACACAGTGTGTGTACATACAGTGAGCGGAGGTGACTGGTTGGCTACATTCTTGAATGCAGATAGCCCATCGGCACAGCCCCCAATGATCTGGATGCCGTCGGGGTTGCCGACTTGGACATTCTTTGGCCTGCAAGTCGGGGAGGAGCACAGATTGTAAAAGTGAATTCAGCTGACACCAGGGACTCACGAAGACCTGCAAAATGACATGCCACTATTCCTTTCGACAAACTTAAAACACCTGTTTTTTTCCCCCAGACAACTAATCAGCGGACACCGGGGCACAATTGAGCCGGGTGGGCTCTTCTTCAGTTCTTTCTAAAGCCGGTGCCAGTGACATCGGCAGTGAAGACATTTTATTATTTCTTCACTGTTCCACTAGAAGTCTATTTTTTAAAGTATTTCTGGGCATGCAGTTGATCAGAGAGATCTTTGATCTTTGTACCGCTCACGGTGCGGTCATAGTATCTTTGAAAGGTAGCAAGTCAGCTTATTCTGCGGTTTCCACCATTTCTACCCAGGGGCTTCCCCGGGAGTAGTGAGACATATATCGCCCGTGCTTTGAGCCTTTGGCACACGGTGTCCTCGTGATTATAATGATTCCCTGCCGAACACCAAAAAGCATACAAACAGAAATTACTATATTGCACGAATAAGGGTCCGGCGGATTCTGCCGGCAGAAAAATTGGCAGAATTCGGTACTTTTTCTGGTAAGTTTCATGCATGTTTGGTATGTGGATAAAAAAATGGAGCAGAATTCGAGGAATTGCTCGCCATAAGGTTTGTATGGTTCTGCCAATTTCACTGCTTTTCGAGCAGAATCTGCCTCCTTTTCGAGCAGAATCCCCCGGTCCCTAGCACGAATTGGTGCATAGAGGCACGTGCTACCAGTGCAGAGAAAATGTGATTTGTCGAGCCCGTACCTACACATAACATGTAGTGCTGTCGGCTACATAATTTATTATTTTGCACAGCTTTAGTTCCACTTCTGCAGGAACAAGTAGTTTACAATGGCTGACAAAGGATCTAACTCTAAGTACATGTATACATGCATGTATGCCGTGGTGTTGCCGGCTAATGATACCTGTATCACAGACAGTGGCAGGAATCCTCAAACAGATATGGACCGTGCCGTTGTCACTAAAAAGTAAAATCATCCAGCTACATCACTCAGGGTTGGGCACCCTGCTCTGTTGCCGGTTTCACATTCAACGTGGCGGCAACCCCAAGCAGGCTCTGGCAGCAGCAACTGTAAAGCTTGTTTAAATAACACCACACGTTGCAAGTAGAACATGTGCATGGTTGTACTTACGCTGACTTGATGCTACTGTACGGTATGCCTGTGGATGGTGCATGGATGACCTGTAAGTACAAACAAACAAGATGACCAGCACAGCACTGATTGATAGTCACCAACCAAATCACATGCCGTATTGCCTTCCCCAAGACAAGCACGCTAGCATTCAAATGCCCCTGAATTGCCCAACTTTGGACGGGCATAAATAGTCCCTCTCCTCTCAACCACATTATCCCGATAAGGTGCACCCAGTTTCCAGTGTCTATGAGCCCATGCAGTTCTAGCATGAGAACTGTGAGTTCAAAATCCATCATTTCGTCACTACATGTAGACATAATTTGTTATGTGTTCATTAGGCCCATGTGGGAATATAAATTCACGTCAAGCACGCAAACAATTGGCGGGCTAGCGTTACGTCGACGGTATGCACAGTACCTTGCCATCGATGTTGCCATGGGCGCCTGCGACATCTCCAGTGCAATCGTGACGGGAAGAGTGTTGACCAGGGCACTGCGCACTGGCCGTGACGACGACGTGTGCTGGCGCCGAGTTGTCCTGTCAACGGGCTGGTAAACCGTGTTCCAGCTGGTGGCGCGACCTGTCTGTCGCCGGCTCTGAAACGCCATGGTAACCGTCCGTGCTGCCAGCTGTGGCTCATCGTGTTTCCGCTGCTGGGGCGGTGCTGATCGCAATCCCCGATTTAGCGCAGCAGTAGCAGTGGCATGTTCGCCCGACTGGCTAGGACCAGGAATAGTGGAGTTGAGAGAATGCATCACCGTGGCGGTAGACGTCGATGCTGCAGGGTTGTGTAATCCTGAGGATCCCTGGCCATGGCGGGGTTGTGCCAGGTGAGCAGCAGCGAGTGAATGGTGTGATGAGCTAGCTTCACCACCAGATAGAACGGGCAAGTATCCCGTAGATGACGAGACTGGTGATGGCATGCCTTGTTGTGAGCGGCTGGCCGGGCCGCCTTGCCTGCCAGAGTGGAACTTAGGCTGTACGGTCCTGTGCGGCGACGGGCCACGCATCGCAAGCCCATGCTTGGCGATTGCAATGGCGTGAGAAGATGCATCACCACTTTCGGTCTCCGGCTCTTCTGCACAGCTTGTCTAACAAAACATACACATAACAAGCACATAAAATAAGCACATTGCAAGCGCATACCAGAAACACATTCCAAGCATGCACATATCTGTTACAAGAAATGCATTGCAACTTGCAAGCATGCACATACCAGTAACTGTTACGAGAAACACATTGCAAGCACATACAAGAAAAACCTGGTTTCAGTGACCAACCATGGGCCACAGCTGCTGCGATCTTTGGACAATACTGTACCCGTGCCGGCAACAGTGTAGCATGGTCCCAGGATAACGGAAATGTGGGTCCAGAATTTCGGGAATATGGGTCCAGGATTTCAGAAACATGGGCCCAGGATCGCAAGGGCATGAGTCCACAAGGACATGGCATGCAAGAAAGTATAATGCCGAGTTACAATATGCTTCACTGATTCCCCCTTACCATTGTTTTCTCAGCCAAGGGCTTAGCCACAACTGCTTGTTTTGACAGCCCCGTGTCTTGAAGGTGCTGAATGACCATCTCCACATGAGCTTGCAGAGCCACTGGCACAAAATACAGCATTTGGTATCAACAAACAAAGAGCGGCATGAGTGAGCACATAGGAAAGGATGATAATTAGTCAGTGATGATGCTGGATGATATCATTGGAATTGAAAGTAAAGGAACACAGGTACATGCTACAGGAATGATGTTGTACTGATGAGCTAGGCTCAGTTGAAGTTAGCAAGCTGTCTGGAGGGTCTGACAATACCATGTATCCATGGAATTGTCCTTGCTGTGGTGGTGGTGCTGCTGCACGAGTGGAGTGGTTTGGCCAAGACAACCACCGCATTCGAGTGGAGGAGTTCTTTAGTCATTTTCTACAAGTAGAGTGGCGGGAAAATATATCGATCCCGCCGCCGTGATTACAGTAAGGCCTCTGCCTCTGATCTCTCTCATTTATTGTCAATTTCTGATCTCGGATCCTTCTCGTCCCCGTCGGTCGATGTAATGCTAGAAGAGTGGCAAGGAAAATTTGAAGACGCCTTGGATGTGGTTGCACCCTACATAATATCACGGAGACAATCCCCTGGAAAAAGGAAGAAGTGCCCATTCATGACACCGGAATTACTAGCTCTCATTAGGCGACGTAAAACCGTCTACAGAAAGTACCGCTCGTCTGACTGCAGTAGTACGGTTCTACAGAAGGAGTTCAAAGTTTTGCGCAGCAAATGCAATAACCTTTATCGCCAACTCCGAAATGCCCACTTCCGCTCCATCTGTGACGATTACCGGCGAGATCCTAGGCGTCTTTGGAGCACCATCAACTCAGTCACCCGGCGCACAAACCCTAGAACTGAGCCTCTCGTCCAGGCAGATACCTTGAACAGGTATTTCCATAGTATTGTGTCAGATCCGAACCCGGCTTATGTTGTTCCAAGTGGTACCTCAAGACCGTGTGACTTGCACGAGTTTCGCCCTATTTCTGAGGATGAGGTACTTCGGCACCTTCAGAAACTCGACGGTACGAAAGCGCCTGGGCCAGATGGTCTCCTCCCGAGCATCCTGAAGGCCGTTGCACCAGTTATCGCCTTCTCCCTCACCCTAATATTTAATACCTCTTTGTGCACTGCTGTGTTCCCGACACAATTCAAGTTGGCTAATGTCACGCCGATATTGAAATCCCGTATGGGCGATCCTACTTCTCCTTCGAACTATCGTCCTGTGTCACTCACGTCGATTCTGGCTAAGACTCTGGAACGCCTGGTTCTAAATCAGGTATGTGACAGTTTGACCATCGAAAATCACCTCCACGATCACCAATTTAGGTTCCGACCAGCTCGTTCCACGACACAACTGCTCACACTTGCTGTAAATGATTGGAAACTGGCCCAGGACCGCGGAGAGACTACCAGTGTAGCCTTTGTCGACCTCAGCAAGGCGTTTGATCGCGTCCAGCATCAACAGTTACTCATTGCGCTCCATGGCATGGGTGTTCATGCAAGCGCCCTGCGTTGGTTTGCGTCGTACCTCGCCGGGAGATCTCAGCGTGTCGTCACGCCAGCCAGCCAGTCCTCAAGTCTTGCAGTGTCTCGAGGAGTTCCTCAGGGAAGTATTTTAGGCCCTACCCTCTTTAATGTCTACCTGAGGGACCTTCCCCGGCTTGCGGAGACAGCGGGTTCAAAATTACTGATGTTCGCAGATGACAAGACAGTCTACTCTAGTGATCCGTCGAAGGCGCGTTCCGAAGCCAAGTTGTCATCGGCACTGGAGATACTAAACAACCACCTTGGCTCCATTGGTATGCAGATAAATACCGACAAAACCGTTGTCATGCAAATCCATCCCAAACGTGCCACAGGGAGTCAGCAACAACAACAAAGGCAACAACTGCAAATCACCTTGTCAAATGTTACGCTAGGGGAAGTGGAAAGCACCAGATGCTTAGGAGTCGTTGTTGACAATAAGCTATCTTTTGACCAACACATTAACAATGTCGTCCGGAAAGCCTCACGGAAGATCGGTGTACTGCGTCGATCTTTCCGCCAGATGAACCTGTTTGCCCGCCGTACTTTCGTTGTCGGTGTTATTCAGCCTGATCTAGAATATGCTCTCCCTGTATACCTTTCGTTTATATCCGCTAAAAATAGAAACAAGCTAGCCTCACTCCACCGGCGCGCTGTACGAGTTGCTTGTGGTGCATCACCCCAAGCTAATATCACGCCACTTCTTCACCACCTCAATGTTTCCTCTTTCCAATATCGATCAGTATTTTTGTTCCTTGTATTCATTTTCCACTGTTACTGTATTAAGCCGGCTGTTTGCTTGCAGTCCCTCTTTCCCATCTGTACGTCTACCCGAACTACTCGCGGCTCTACAACTCATAACATGAGTATCAATCGCTATAGATCTATGTCTGGCTTTCTGTCCTTTTCAAGTAAATCGGCTCTTGTTTGGAATTATTTACCAGACGACCTGAAGTCCTGCACTACTATCGCAGATTTCCGCGTCAAATTGGCTATTTGGCTAAAAGACAGCTTAACTCTTAATCATTGTTGTGATTTGCTTTCAAGCAATGTGCATAATCAGTAACTTGATGTTGCTGTTTTTGTTTTGTTTTTTTGTTTTTTTTTTTGGTTTCCCGTTCTCGGGGCCTTCTATTCGGTACTCTTTGTAGTTGTACTTCTGTACTGTTGAGCTATCCGAATTCAAATAAACATTAAAAAAAAAAAAAAAAAAAAAAAAAAGTGGCATCATTCGCAAAATTTAGGAAATTCCATGCACACAACGGCGGGCGCTTGCCCGCAAACGTCAGAACTCACTCTCATCACCAGATTTTCTTCGCCCAGCAGCACTGCTATCCCGTGGTGACTTGGTGCCAAGCGTCGTGGTCTGATCTTGTGCTGGCGCATGATGACGGCCTGAGCTTGGCTTTGATGATGGACTGCGCTCATCCTCATCACCACTCTCAGTACCCTGAAGAGAACACCACCGCAAGAACACCATGGCAAGAGCAGAATTCATTACAAGTAGAACAGAGTAAAAGTGGGGAGGCTTCCTGCAGTTTCATTAACAGTTAAGAGTAGAGCCCACACGCTCTCTTCCATTAAAACTGCAATAATTGAACTCATTTCACAATAATTATTACGTTTCGGCAAATAACTTTCATCAGGTTAACATAGAACTGAGCAGACAAATGTAAGGTGAAGCAGTTTACAGATCATTGAAGCTACAGTATTGGCCTATGAAAGCGGCATACTCAATACACAATGCCGTTATGCCATCTTCAGAAGCATTACAATGTACTTCTCATCCAGGAAAGGGCTGGTCCCAGGCACCAATGAACTGATGCATAGCAGTAGGGACCGTGTATCAGTAGGGACTATGTAAAATCCCATACACATGCAATGATTGAACTGCACAGAGTATTTTGAGTTTCAACCCGATCCTACACAATTTTCTACCCTGTTATGTTTCCGGAATTGATTTTAAAGTCGGAACACGACACACTCACAGAACCAAGGTATGGGACAACACACGTCAGCATCCGGAGGCTATACAGGTGAAGCACTCTACTGTTCTGTGTTCAATGAATGCGTAAAGTGATCAGGGACTATTCAATACACAGTGATAGAGCATTGCTACACAGAAGAATGCTTGCCATGCACAGTGCAATGGTCTAGATGGGTACGTACTGTATCCGAGTCACTGCTCTGATCGTTCATGACGTTTGCCACACTGCTGGTTCGACTGTGATGGGGAGAGCTTGGTGGTGGGGCCGGTGAGAAGCGTCCCATCGCGTCCGCGCTAAATCCTGGGCCTCCGTGTTCCATCAGAGCGTCTATGCAAACACACACGCAAACGCACACACATACCGTATTTCCCCGATTGTAAGTCGCACTCCTATCTCCATGTCTATGTCATATCGTTTCGGTATATTCACTTCAGTAGTAATCATGCTCAATTGTAAGTCGCACTCCCTTTGTTGGCCCTGAAGTTGAGTGCAGAAAGGTGCGACTTATATTCGGGGAAATGCGAGTTATGATAGCTGACTATAGGAAAAGCTTCGACATTGCAAACCTTGAAGGACACCTAGGGCTAGGGAGCCCATCTGATTCCACACAAGTAGTGGAAATATAGCTACGGTTCATGCTAACACGGGTTTTCAATACACCCTTTGGTAGCCATTTGAGTGTGGAGCAAACCCTGCATGCTTTCCACTTGTTTGAATGTTTCACAGGATCTCAATGATGGCAGTGTGCACAGTCCACATGCAAAGGGTATACAAGCGATTACAACCTCCTTACCAATTACTTCGAAGTATGAAAGCCTAAAGGATCATACTTCGAAGTACGTTACAAGCAATGCATGGCGTTGTAGCAACAAACACCGCTCTAGCACTAGACAACAACAGATGCACACAGTGACACAAGTGCCTAGACTGATGATAAAGAACTCAAAACTTCATTCACCTGCACTCTGCCACGTCTTCTGCCTACAGAATACAGAACAAGTCACAAACAAAAGACAATAGTGTTTCCAAAGAGTACAAACTTGAGCTCCGCAAGCCTGTAGGTGTTGATTTCTACCTCTTTCTGAAAGCAGTCAGTGCTGCTTCCATCGTGTAATTGATTGCCTCACCACGCCTCCCCCCCCCCCCCCCTCCATCCTCGTTTCCCCATTACCAATGTTTTCCCCCAACGTACCACATCGTATTTATAGTGAGTGCTGGAAAAAGTGGATTTGTATCATATCAACACCTGAAAGTGGATTTGTATCATATCAACGCATGGAATTGAACCCCGCCAAAATGAGCATTGCAGCACCTGCATGGTCCTCCTGTTCATAACCAGTGACTAGACCTACAGTGTTGTCGGCATGTACAGCGCACTGCTTCAGTGCTTACCTTGCTCCTATTGTGTCAGCCGTGATCGGTTTCCAATACCCCTGCTGATCAAACACTAGCGGCTCTAGGTCAATGAGAAGTTGTTCTGCTCGCCAACAACATTTCAAGTGCATGCACACAAACACACAAAAACAGATACACGCACATACATGAACAAACATTAATGCTCATGGAGTCGTAGCGCCCACTCCGGCCAAACCTTGTTTCAAAAAAGTCGACCTATCCATTTCGTGAAAAGCGGGTTTTTCATCAATACTGTCCAACTCTGGTCACAGTACTCCATCTCGCCAGACCACCTAAACTCCCACTATTCTTCAACAACACACTAATTTTCGTCCGTGACATGGAAGTAAATACACATACTTAGATACCATATCAATGGGGAAGGTGATGGGGATAACGTATATACATGCAGGCGCGTAGCACTGCCATTGGAGGTGGTCCGGCCGGAGGGGCTTGGGGGGTCTCTCCGGGAATTTTTTTCGAAATTAGGGTGCAACATCCTGCATTCTGGGCACTTTTGGCCGTGGTCGGGCGAAAAAGTGGTCCGGCCAAAGCCTGACCGGCCGGACCGGCTGCTACGCCCCTGACATGTATGGAGATTGAGTACTAGCAGTACAAGCAGTACAGCAGCAGTAGATCAGTGTTGATCAGGGAGCCCTACACATACAGTGCGTAGGGCTCCCTGATGTTGATCACTGAGTGATGCTGGCTACTGGAGACGGTCAACCTGCCGCTTACCAGTGCCTTGTGTTCCGTACACTGGAAATGCCTTCTCTACCTGAATCACCGCTGAATTGAGGTTTGTGAACGACAAAATCTGACCAAACACCTGTCAAGGACAATAGGTACACGTGGAACAATATAATTCTAGCATCAGCACCCTCCAACAGCAGAGTACGTTACAACCCAGCATACACATCCCTTGATTTCTGCGGGGGTGTTACCACACATCCATAATGGTCCGTTTTCTTATCGAAAGTTGAAAAATTGTCCGTAGCGTGGATTTTGGCATGAAGTCATAGCTTGTCACTGCTGCAGAAAGGCAAACAAACATGCTGCAGACTATATTGCAGGGCAAACACAAAGTGCAAGAGACTTGGAACTACATTGCAGCTGCAGCATTTCAAACTACTTCGAAGTAAGTTGGCCTGGACCCAAGCAAAACTAGGCTAGTTCACCATGATGAAAACGATTGAGTTTGACGAGAATCACCAAGTTGACTAACCTTAGGTGAAAGCTGTACAAGCACCATGTCCCCCACTCCTGTGCAAAACAAGAGTAGTTGTAACACAAGATAAGCATTAAAAGGTCAGCAGTCTTGTCCCTGAAACTATAACACAGCGCATGCACACACAGTACTGTCGGTCGCCTAAGAACTGGGGGGGGGGGGGGGGGGTCAGCCTCCTAGCTTTAAATAGACCGTTCTTATTTTCATGTATTACAGTCTATGCACGGTTGAGTCACCGTGTATACATTGGTATGCTGTGCTTGATGAAATTCTAGCCTGGTCGTTCTTCAGCGCCTGACAGTCCTGTTCATGTACTCGCGGTACAAGATGTACACTCAAAAGAATGGTGAAGTATAGGCGCGTGCGCCGGTGCCCTTCAGGGGGGGGGGGGGGGAGGGTTCCGGGGGCCTCCTCTGGGAACATTTTCAAAAAACGGAGCAAAATCCTGCATTTTGAGCGAAAAGGGGGGTTCCGGGCACCCAGGAACCCATACGGGGCACGCGCCTGGTATACACTTCTAGCGATGGAAACAGACCAGTCATAAGACCAAACCACCAAGAAACCCATACCGGCACCGGCAATGTGCGTAATCCCAGCATTGTAACCTTCCCATCAATCTTACTTGGGGTTGGTTGTGTGCGATTCCAGGCGAGTACTGTAGATGCAGATATCATCGGATTGGCTGCATTTTTGCTGGAGATTCAGACGGAGAGACCGAGATGGAGAACATCACGAGAAAATGCACATTGGTGCAAAAGGCAATTAAGTCCTGCCATTCTATACAATACAATCAGAGCTATACCATGTGGAAACCGTGCTTTATGACTCACGCATACGCACGCACAAACACACACACACACACACACACAAACACACACACACACACACACACACCATTTGACCATTAGACGCCCATCGCCAGAGGCGATGATAGCGATGCTACAGCAGAAGCCATAGCAACTTGTGCTGGGATTGCACCATTCAACAGCTTGCAAGGCTGAAGAATTGACCGCCACTATTCAGCCTGGTCTACACCACACAGCTACGAAGTGGCTTTTTTGGCCAGTGAATCCTTACTTTTTGGTCTTTTTCATTTGTTTCCCTTCCTCCCGCACACACATCACACCACATAATCCGGCATGCACTGGCTGTTGGTAACTACCCAGGAGAATGAAAGAAAAGTCAGGAGTCTAAGAAAGAGAAGAAAGACGTGTGTGTGTGGGGGGGGGGGGGGGAGTGACAGCACTTCACAAGCCTGACACCATACTCAGTACAACATACCTGGTGTAGGACATCTGTGTTTTGCCAATAGGACTGGACTTGGGCCGGCGAGAAGCTGGGATCGCTGACTGTCTCTGTAGAGTGTAATGGGCAGTATGTAGTATAGGTATATGCATAGCCAATGACATAAGAACACTGATCAAACGTAGAATTACACCTCATTGTACATATTTTGTTCAACGGTCCCGCAGCAATACTGGCTCCCTGCCGTTACGCACCATTGCACCAACAAGTCATAATGCAATCAGGCCATCCAGACCAACGTGACAAAATAGGACACCAATATGTACTGTATACAAACGCCGCTTTGTCTCCCGCAATATGTATACAGATATTTTAATCCTATGTGGGACTGTAAAAAAGCAGGCAGTCACCGAGCACACTGCTGATAAGAATGTTTTAATGGCCGGATAGGGCATCAGTTGTGTTGTACTTCTCAAAATACTAGGCCGGATGGTGTGAGTAGCAAACTTTTCACAAGAACATGTCACGTGAGTAGGTAGTGTGTGTGTGTGTGGGGGGGGGGGGGGGGGGTGATGGCACAAAAGATGAACCCACTGAACTTCCAAGTGCCTTTGAAGTGGCCACTTGATCCTCTATGTAAGTGGTGTATTACTATTAGGTCTGGCGTGGGTTCAAGACAAAGACTGATGCACCAGAGAGTACATGTCTCCCAATGATTCCCAGGCCAGAGTGCCTGATGCAGATTCCCCTCCCAAGAGTCCCCCTCCTGGGTGGTTCTAAATTTAGGGGTCAAACGGGTGTACCTTTAACTAACGAACGGGTAATTTTCTTAACGAGCGGGTTAACGGGTACCCTTTAGCAGCCATATTATTTTTTTGCGCATTTCTCACATAAATCATGATTTTAATTTGTATATTCTCAGGTTGTATTTTGAATTTTTTTTGATACTACATTATGATTCTCAATTGATTCGTGTATCATAATAATAATTATGGCAATGAAGGTTCCAAATGAATGTCATCCGTGCATTTGCCCATGTACATAACTTCACAGGCAGTAACTTACAATCGTACATGTAGATGGTCCTACAAGCTACATGTATTTTGATACATGTACACAAATCAACTGCAGATCAATGTGATTCAAGCCATGCAAGGACAGAGTGGTTTAGCAAAACTTCCGTGATCTCGCGCAATCCTATTTGCTATGTTCGCAGAGAACTGGTACTCGTTGCATTCAGAAGATGTTCGCGCCCATAGCTAGCTGGGGTGCCTGACACAGCTGATGTGCTGCTGGCCAGCTAGCTGCTAGTGCTAGCTTGTTGAACTCGTGAAATGAATCTTCACAAATCCGTAATCTTGTATGCAATATTTCGTACTACTTTTCAGCTCGTCGATTGAAGGAACAAACTACAACCATGAGTATCATACATGTAGCTACCACCTACGGACATCACCGTTTGTGACACTCCGACTGGTCACTCAGCCTGGTAATAATAATAATAATAATATCTTTATTAGGATGACCCAGAGGCTTGTCGCCTATCAAGGGGTTCACCGCTTTGAAGGATGTACATGTACATGTACACGTATGAGCTAAAGTGAAAGTAGTGAAAAGTTGTGCAGCGTGAATGCGTTGTGGTGACACTAGTTCATCAAGTACTGTGGCAGGTTCGATGTCGGAGAACCATCGTAACGTTCTAGTTACTCAGCTGCCACCTCGAACGAGTTTCAAGTCTTGCATTTTCTCACATCACAATCAAAAACCTCCAGTACGAGGATTTTTACTTGCACTTGAGTGGAGAGAAAAACTGTCAAGTCTGTCTTTCAGCCTGCTCCTGCCTGATAAAGTCGAAAGCGGGAATGCACAGGAAAAAGGAAAAGAGTATCCGCACTCCTATTTTGAGTCTTGGAATACGATAGGATCACTTTTTTTTTTTTTATACAATCGGGTACCCTTTTACTAACGGTACCTGAGATTAACGGGCGGGTACCCCGGTACCCGGTACACCCGTTTGACCCCTAGTTCTAATGCTTTGGACGTACTAGTACCAGGTGTATGTTCTTTCTTCCCAGGTGGGTTGAACCTCATGCCAGAACCCCCCCCCCCCCCCACACACACACACACTCACACACTAACTACTCCAGTGACTATTGAAATTGATCCCTTACCTTGCTCTTGCTGAACACTGCCTTCCTTGTCTGTGAAAGCTGCTGCTGCCTTCCATAAATGGGTACGCCTAAACACCACAGAACCACAGCAGCACATTCTACACATTAGCATTGTCGGGTAGCCTTGAATACTGTTGCCATGCCTAATGTTGTGTACTGTCGCTATGTACTCAACGCAGCCAGTCCCTTCCATTCTCAGTGAAGCTTTGTCACCTTGCAATTGTCATGCCTTCGGGTTTTGCTGGGGAACAGTGTCATACAAATAGAACTTTACACGCGCATGCTGCTGGCTGATTGTGGTGCATGCACAGAAAAACTTACCTCAGTGGATAGCACTTTTCTCCACTACAGCACTATGAGAGTGCAGCCATGGGTGTCCAAATGCAAAGGGTCTGTATTAAAGCACCGGAAATGATTCATGTAGCCCGACTGCACAGCTGCGTGTATATTCCCCAGTACTAGTACGGAAACTCCCTCGATTTAGGCTAAGGCCTGTGGAGAATCCATAAATACAAACACAAATACTAGTAACTCACGTGCTGTGGAAGCATCCATGGTAGCCTTGACTTTCAGCAGGATGTATGCTGCCATGCGTTGATAGATCTGCCAACGATCAACCTATTGAAAATCACGAAAGTGCAAAGAAAAATATACATTGGCCAGGAATCAAACCACGTTGGGGAGAGCATGTCATAGGCAAGTATTCTACTGCTGAGTCACCGAAGCAACAAAAAAGAAAAATGCATTGGCCGGGAATCGAACCCGGGCCCCCCGCGTGGCAGGCGAGGATTCTACCACTGAACCACCAATGCTTTCATGCTGAAATTACTACATGTTGGACATTCTGACCATTCCATATCACTATTAGTATTATTCAAATTTTGCTCTGCTAAATATAACCTTGCCTCAGCCAGATTCCTTTCAAACTTTCCGAGCTGGACATTCTTGTAGTCAACCTCATGGCACATCCCACGTGGAAGCCACTCACTGGCTCTTGTCTCAAAGCTAAGCACAGTACAGTGGCGGATCTAGGGGAGGGCGCGGTGGGCGCGCGCCCTCCCCTCAAACAGTTCGATTTTTTTTAGTGCAGGCACATGGGCAGTTGCGCAAGTGTTTGCACATGCTGTGACAAGTAGTTTCTAGTGTCAGGTAAGAAAGTTCTTCTGAACACGGAGTAGTTGTTCTCTTAGACTTTGGTTGACTTTTAGTTTTGAAATTAGTGTTCAGTTCACGAACTTGTATAGCTAAGTCGGTGAAGGGGATGGCGCACCGCCCGCCCAAGCGGCTAGGGAGCCAACAAACTCTCCACGGATTTTTCGCGAAGCGAACTTGCGCTTCGTTAGCTGCTCAGTCTTTGGAGGAGAATTCGGACCACCGCGAAGATCCTGAGATCGAGGTTTTTTATTTTTATTTTTATTTTTTTTTATACGAAAGTCCACTATATTCCCGAATATGTGCGAGAAGTGGTGGCGGGGCCAGGCTGCTCTGCCGACCTCAAAGGTCTCGGCGTCTACGTCTGCTCAGACTCTGATCTTCCCCAAATGGAATCCGAAGTAGATTCTGACGACGATGGTGGGACTGTCAGTAGTAGTGATGCGAGTTAGGAGCGTTTACCTGTTGAAACTATCGCAGATGACGATGTTGTGACTGCCATGAATGTGGCTGGTGGCACTGCTACGCAGCGAAGTTACTCGGATGCTGTTGATGCACCTATTGGCGGTGCAACTCTCAGCGATGAAGCAAAGCGCAACATACTTGGGATCCGGAAGCCTGATAAGCAGACGGTGTTGCCATCTAGGGATTATCCCGACAGCCGCCGAAAGACCGGTACTTCCACTCGCTCGCTCCTACTGAAGAGGTTTGAGTGGCTTGCCTATTCCGGAAAGGCTGGCGAGGAAGGCGTTTTTTGTGCGCCGTGCGTCCCGTTTCCTACATTGCTTCGACAAGGATCAACCCGAGGTGAATACCTCATCATCCATTCTTACTGCTGGACATGGCCATCCAAGTAATCGTATATTTTATTATTTTGCCATTGTTCTCGATCTCAGCATGTCTGGAGCTTTGATTCGAAGCACTATCTTTACACAATTCAATGTACGAGTAGTACGGCTATGTTCTACTACAGCCAGAGTCCTCAATGAAGTGGTTGAAAAAGTGGGAGTGAGTGCATGTGCTAAAATAGTATTAGTAATTCTACATAACCGCTAAGCCTATGATGTAAAATAGCCGCTATGTCGTAATGTGTACAAAATACAGGTACCGCATAGGTTCCCCTGTCATGAATATTACCCGCGCCCTCCCCTCAGATGAACTCTGGATCCGCCGCTGCAGTACTTCTTTGGAACACGAAACATGAAAGCAAAAATATTTCCCCACACGACCTTTTTTGTACACCGACCTGCAGGATCAAAAGGCCAGCGTTTTCTGGTACAAAAGTTCTCAAGTTTATGATGCTTGCCGGCGTTCTCTTCTGTCATCAGTCATGGTGATAAGCCGTCAATGATTGGTTGAGGCCCGCTTGATTAATACGTGAAAACACTGAAAATCGTCCGACTTTTCGGCCAAATAGCGACCAGCCGATACTTGGCAGAAAAATCTTACGACAAACAATCGTATGAAATTTGTCGAAAACTTGCACGGCAACTCCATTCACACTCGGCGATGTTGGCGACGCTTTTTCGTAAGGTCACAAACCGGCCTGGTGCATTCAAATCAGGCATAGAAAGAAAAAGAAACTTGTGATGCACAAATAATAAGAATAATAATAATTTTTGAACGGATTGGGAGAACTTCAAATACAAAGGATCAGTTGGGGAAGTGAACTGCCTGAAAAGAGAAAAAACCGCCAGACCCACCAGGACTCGAACCTGGGACCCTGCTTGTCATGAGCAATGCTCTAACCACTGAGCTATGGGACCAGGCTGAACCCAGAAGGCGCCGACAAGTCCTTCACTCCAAAGGCAGCTCACAACACGTGCCACACATACTGATGGCACTTGGGTCTTTCTCCCTCCCCCAGGGGACCAACCACGGTCAGTTTCTGGACCCTACCAGAAGTGAAAGAAAAGTGATTAATTTTTGAACGGGTTGGGAGAACTTCAAATACAAAGGATCAGTTGGGGAAGTGAACTGCCTGAAAATAATAATAATAATAATAATAATAATAATAATAATAATAATAATAATAATAATAATAATAATAATAATAATAATAATAATAATAATAATAATAATAATAATAATATGAAACTCGGATGTTGAGCCATAAATAAATGTAGAAGAGAAAAGGACATATGGATACGAGTTAACTGTAGGAGTTTGGCTTTCGGCTTGTACAATTCGTTTTCGCAAAGCTTCCCTTTCTTTACTTATCTTTGATATTTATGACCCACCCAAGTTGGGTGGTGTGCTGCTTTGCTGCTTCGAATTGTAGTTAGACCGCTTTGTCAAATATCGTACTGGTCTCGTCATCGTCCAGTAACAATTGACATTCTTTGTTCCGTTGGGACTGTAGCTTTTGCTCGTTTTCGTTGCGCTTGCCTTCCCCTCTTTGGTCTTTCCATAACCTTGAACCTTCCAAGTTGGAAGGCTGTCGGTTAGCGCTACGGAGATGTGTTGAAGCTAGGTGTCAGGACGTCGAATGTTTCAGTACTCTGTCAGTTTTGTGCCTAGTTATTGCACTTTCTGACTGTATAAAGTATCATGTTACAGTGATGGAGAGTTACTCTTAACTCGTATCCATATGTCCTTTTCTCTTCTACATTTATTTATGGCTCAACATCCGAGTTTCATATTGCACACCTGATGAGCCGTCACGAACCATACGGCGAAACGTACGTCGTGTGAAACAACTTGTTTTGTAGTCAACTAGTCCATCACCATGTCATGCATGAGGAGTACTGTAGGAGTTTGGCTTTCGGCTTGTACAATTCGTTTTCGCAAAGCTTCCCTTTCTTTACTTATCTTTGATATTTATGACCCACCCAAGTTGGGTGGTGTGCTGCTTTGCTGCTTCGAATTGTAGTTAGACCGCTTTGTCAAATATCGTACTGGTCTCGTCATCGTCCAGTAACAATTGACATTCTTTGTTCCGTTGGGACTGTAGCTTTTGCTCGTTTTCGTTGCGCTTGCCTTCCCCTCTTTGGTCTTTCCATAACCTTGAACCTTCCAAGTTGGAAGGCTGTCGGTTAGCGCTACGGAGATGTGTTGAAGCTAGGTGTCAGGACGTCGAATGTTTCAGTACTCTGTCAGTTTTGTGCCTAGTTATTGCACTTTCTGACTGTATAAAGTATCATGTTACAGTGATGGAGAGTTACTCTTAACTCGTATCCATATGTCCTTTTCTCTTCTACAATAATAATAATAATAATAATAATAATAATAATAATAATAATAATAATAATAATAATAATAATAATAATAATAATAATAATAATAATAATAATAATAATACCTTCACTTGGTTTCTGACCGCCACCGTCCTTCACACCATCTGCACCATCATCGTCATCATCGTCATCGTCCTCTTCATCATCGCTGCCACCTTCACCTGTCGTCGGCTCTCCCAGCAACTGACCACCGGGTTCATCATCGTCACTGCACACGTCGCTTCCACACTCCTCCTCCAGCTGCCGTCGCGTTCTCTTCCTGACCGGTCTTCCCTTGAAGAATACATCGGCAATTAAATTGCATTTGTTGTCTAACCCCGTGTGTCGTGTGCCGTGTGTCGTGTGTCGTGTGCCGTGTGTCGTGTGTCGTGAAAGTTATGATGATTCTTGGTTCAGTGTTGTTCGTTCTGCAAGTAGTTTCAAGCAGTTGAAAGTTCTAGAAGCAGTCTACATTCGCATTAATAATAATAATAATAATAATAATAATAATAATAATAATAATAATAATAATAATAATAATAATAATAATAATAATAATAATAATAATAATAATTTTATAATAGCTATAAAGAGAACAAATTCTGCTGTCATCGCCACACTACAACAAAGTCATGAAGGTTTACCAAAATCGATTTTCTTGTCACAATCATCAGTGGAAAGCCGTGACTGAAGAATAACCATGCCAAATTAATAATTTATATACATTCAATAATGTGTTACGAGAACAAAACAAAGTGCTAAAAATAGAATGAGGGAAGGTGAGACAATAGAAGTAAAGCGAGAGCTAAGTGCAACAGGGGTGAGGAACTAATTGCAACGCTAGAACTATGTAGTGAGACAAACAATCATGCTGTGCACCTACGAAAACAATCTTAACGCAACTACATGTTTCTTCTGCTTACAAAGATCAGGCTTATGCAAACGAATACAAACAGCCTCAAGTACTTTCAACTGACTAGCGTACCGTGCACGACAAAGAACAGAAAAACTAAAATCATCATACACCTGCAGACACTTAGGGTGAGACAACAGATGAAGAAAAACGGCAGACTTCTTACGATCACAATCACCATCCGATTCCTCGTCTCCACCAACCGCAACCTCGTCCCCCGTCTCATCTTCCAACTCATCCTCAGTGTCGTCCTCCGTGTCATTCTCCTCATCACCACCGATCGGTCCCAGGCTCGCTTCACGTTGCTGAACCTCTGTTCGTTGACTCCTCCTTTGATC